GAAGAGTTGGTGGTGATGATGACGATAGCGCTGGAGATGATGATAATTAGGATGGTGGTGGTGGTGGTGATGATGATGATGATGACGATGATGATGATTGTGACAATAATCGGTTTTTTCTATAAGGCTCTATTTCATCAAGGTCACATTATTATCGTTTGGGAAGATGCACCAGGCACCACGTGCGATCTAGTCCATATTTTCCGCGTACATGTTTTTTTTTCCCCTGTAATTTGCTCCTGTAAATTCAGTGCGGAACAAATATTCCTTTTTTGAACATTCACATTCTGTCAGTCCAGGCCCGTATCCAGGGGGTTTTATGGTTCGGGAGAACCCCCTTTTCTAGCAAACTGTGGATCTCACGTCCAGAACCCCCCCCCCCCCCCCCCAGCCCCCCACCCCCCTCCCTTGGAAGAACCTGGCTACGGGCCTGCAGTCTTCCATTCATACACCCGAGTCAAGGGAAAAGGCACAAGAAAGTAGATAAGTAGAATGCATATATCGGTGTACTACAATCTAATTGCATTAAGTTCTTGGAGTGCAAGTCCCATGGTCAGATATAATAAGCGTGCGTTAGTCATACGAATGTAATACTTACCGTATTGTATTTTCGTTTTCCAAGAATTGCTTCACATTTTGAGATTACAAACAAGGAATCGTACTGGTACTAAATGAGTTACCCATCCAAAAGACAACATTGATAACACTTCGATACAGAAAGCAGACACATGCACTTGCTAAAAACTTCCCAATATTTTGAAGTTGATAGCAAATAGTTTCGATGTTTTGTTTATCAAACTTTCTTAAATACTTTTCGTGCAATGTACAGGATACATGATTTTAGCTAATAAAAAAAGTTTAGTCACTTTGTTAGCTACACGCTCGTGCCTGCACTTAGGCAACCTTCGCTATGGCCCACTTCACTTTAACTGAAAATCTACGAGTAACGACCGTAATATTGCCCCTAGGTATAAAACACTGACGGATGATGTATTCAGGCCTATTTATTAGGACAGAATAACGGAAAACATGGCTTCCACCTAGGATATAAACCGTAACATCTTGAGGCTATAGAGCAGATGATACAAAGGCTACATTAAAAGTTTTGCCAACGCATGGAAAAAGTTAGTGATGACAAATTTGTCGATACAAACGATGTAGTTGCTTCAGTCTGGGATGTTATCATCATTGCTGCGCTGTGGCTAGTGTGAGTGGACCGGGAGGCGAAAGGGGATGTTTTTAGCTGAACTCTTGGTTAACTAACAACTATATTAGTACCATGATGTCAGATGGCTTTTCGATGCCAAAGAGCTTTTCTGTTTCTCACCTGCTAAATCTTGAAAAAGTTAACTTTGGAGACGGTGGTGCACTTTTGAGCACATGTGAGCCGATGATGAAAGATGTGCACGCTATGAGAAACGTAATGTCTGGAACTCCTGGATACCAAGCAAAAGGTATTACGAATACTGTGGTAAATATATATTAAAACATTCTACCAAGTATTCTTTGTTCATCCCTCTTATAAGCATTCCAAATGAATCGTAGGGGCTAAAACTGCGCGTGTATATGGTATGCACTTAACTATCCGAACTTAAATCGAGAGAGGTGGTTGGCCTCAAAAGTATGAGATTATAGTTAACATGCATGTATGTCTAAATTTAGACATATCTTTCTATTAAACAAAATATTTTCATTTTACTTTTCTTTAGCCGACCAATCAGTGAGTTCAAAGCGGAAGAAATCCAGGAGGAATAGAACCACCTTCAGCTCAGCACAGTTGGAAGCACTGGAGAAGGTGTTCGAGCGTACACATTATCCCGATGCATTCCTAAGGGAAGAACTAGCAAAGAAGGTGGATCTGAGTGAAGCACGAGTACAGGTTCGTAGAACTATTTTGTATGGTCGTTTGCCTATGTTAACTAGTAGCTTGGTTAAAATGTGTTTTTCCGATCACAGATAGTTTTTCAGACCCTATACACATTACCACTATTCGCGGCTAAAAATAATTCCACTCTAATACTTAGTTCAAACTAGAGCTTGTTTAGGCGCGTTTTACGCACACGTGAAATCACCAATCACCAATCGACTTTGGTAATTGGTGATTTCACGCACACGTGAAATCACCAATTACCAAAGTCGATTTCAGTATGAACGAAACAAGCAGCTAAACTTTTCCTATTAATTTACGGTACAATATGGTCTTGTTACAGTTTTAATTGCCCGTGAAGTAATATATTAATTTATTTTATAATTTTCTTTTTTTTTTTAATGTTGCTCAAATTATTTTTTTAAAAAAACTTTCTATCTATTTAGGTATGGTTCCAAAATCGACGAGCGAAATTCCGAAGGAACGAGCGAAGTACCCAGGCTACAAAAACGTCTTCCATGCGTCAATCGTACAACGAGACCGTGGCAGTTGAGCAACCGATCGCCGCACGCCCACGGCCCGTCACGTCGGATTTTCCTGCCGTATGGAACTCCAATTGCTACGGTACCATGAATATGATGCAATCAACGTCAATGTTTGGACTCGAAAATGATTCAATGAACCTCCAAAACTGGAGAATGAGGTCACGTGAATTCAGTAATCAACCATTACTATAGCAATTTACGCAGTCGACACGTATGCCTACTGGTACGCATCAATTTTAAGTGACCATCGTGCCATAATTTATGCTATGCAACGCATTTCTGGCTGAACAGAATGATGTACTCACGGTGATGACTTGTAGGCTTAGTCGTGGAAGATCAACTCTTATACGAAAGTATAACATTACAGGTATGTAAAGTGAATTACGAAGATGTTGATCACGTGTACGCAAAATGCAGTTGATGATTTCGTCTTTTTCCAGTGAGTACTATGAACATTTAACGTGTTTTTTTTTTGTTTTTTTTTTTACTTTATTGCAGCTGATTGGTTGGTTGGTTGAATTGAATGATACATTGGTCAATAAATTTGTGTATTAGTCAATATTATGCAATAATTATTTTAAACAATGCCAACGTGCATTTTTCACGTTAAAAGTTGATGTTCTCTGTTAGTGCATAAGTGATTTGCGTATAGTTGTTTGCCCGTCATCTTGACAATATCGTAACATACGCGGTTTTCACTATATACTATATAAGCTCAAATAGTTTCATCTGGTTTCTGTGATGCATGAAACATGGACAAAATTCTTGTAAATAATTTAAAAAAAATATATGTACGTACTGTTTGTGACTACTCGATTTGTTTTCAACAGACCCCCCTGGTTTAATTACAAACATTTTGTCCATGTTTTATGTAGGCCTACTATAATATATATAATGTTCTGAACAAATAAATTATAAGAGTGTGTAATGAAGTACAGATGAAAATGTGTACGATGCAATGCAACCTACTATATAAATTTGTTACGCTATGCGTATGTATGAATCACTTATAAAGCTTCTGTACATTGCTTCATGTGATAAATTTTCTTTAATTAATAGTATTTGTATACTCTAATTTGTTAGTATTTGCTGGAGAATGGGTGAAAATACAGCTCCAGATAAAACTATGGTTTCTCTTGCAATGTAACCCAACATTGTGATTATTGCATTTTAACAAGCGTTGTACAGTACATTATTATTATTATTATCCATGTTAATTGCCTTTTTTCTTCAATATGTACCCGCCTTTTGTCACATCATAAGTCGCATTTCTATACACATTTTAAAAAAGAAAACCTTGTACAGTATATATTTTCAGTTTATAATAATAACACTTTACTTGAAAAAAACTACGCCTTTCCATCGGCACACGTCACGCATAGCATAATGACGGTGCGTTCATAAAGACAATGTTTAAAACAAATGATATAAACACTAATAAGGCAATGTACAAAACGTGAAATTAATTAAAAGGATTCTTAAAACTCGATAAATCTTCATGAACAGAAACATGTATAAAAAAAGTACTCATAAGTTCCAGTCTTAATTTTTACAATTTTTACCATTTATAACAACATTTCTCTGATTTTTTCAATTTCAAAGTACGATATAAGATACAATTTCGTTCATGCAAATAAATTAATGTACATGTTCTGATTGATTGGGTTTTACAATTCATAATATCATTTCTCTGTTTCCATGCTATGTTTAAGTACGAGATACAAAGATCTTTCATAAATTTGCCAGTCTCCAAGAAGTATGTTATTATTGTATCTTAGTGTTACAATCTCCACTCATAAATTACTGCCATGTATTATAATCATATTTACTCACTTTGGCGTTAAGTTGGAGGGTATTGGATCTTGCTTTAAACTTTAAACTTCATTTCATAGAAATCAGTTTTATTTTTCAAATAATCCTCCATTTTGGGAAATTCTTTTATTCTAATGTAATAATTAAGGAAGAGAAGATTTACTGACTGCATTACTAATCCAGTTAACATTGCACAGATCGTTGTTTTTATGATTAAATGTACTAACCCCTGTATCATTATGTGTGATATGGGCAAAGAATTCATGCATCTCAGTTATTCAATGAATTCATTGAGTTTAAGCGTTTTAGCCGTCATAACAATGTGTTACATTAGAAAGTGAAGGTCTCCAATTAAAGACCACCTCCAATTAAAGACTATTTTTTCATTTGGTCTCAAATTAACAAATATATTATTCTAATTAGAGAAAAAAAATTGCTAAAGACCATAGAGACCCCGGTCCCAAAAGTGCTCTTTAATTGGAGTGTGACCTGTATATATATTTTACAACTCCAGAAATGATTTATTATTAAAATTAGGCTCGAAGACATGTTAGTCTACATAGTAGTAAAACTGGAATTGAAAATGTTATCTAAACATTATGTTTCCAATATAATGATAGACTTAATTAAATGTTAAATGTTGCAAGTATTTTATATAAGAAAGGAAGGACTTTTCTACTCACATCGTGTCAATTTTGCAGCCAATCGGCGCATGCCTGGTCCGCAGCTTAGGGGCTTGGTAATCCCCCATTTCTCGAATGATATGCCAAAATGACTAGTCTTACTTTATTTGGAGTATGTTTTATACTAAGATATCCTGGTTTCTTTAAAGAGCACATGGTGTAGTCTGTATACACTGGGCCTGGGATTTATATGCCCTTTTCCGACAGGACTTAGTTAAACCACCGAAAACATAACGAGGAAGGTATGAAACCCATGCCGAAAGGCTCTGAATTACGGTGTCCCTGCATTGACTGCTCGGTCACCTCGCTAATGAATTATTATTTGCATGTGGTGTTAAGTGCCTGAAAGATATTACATCTCTACATAATATCATAATTTTTTGTAAAGAAAACTTGATATCTCCGAAAAACTATAAATAAGTTAACTGAACAATTTATTTCGACTATCATGACGATGAAACATACTATTGCTCATCACATATTGTAAAATAAGAATTGTGACATTGCGACCGAATGTGTATATACAGATTAAATAAATGAGAATTTATTGTAACTTATGCCTAGTCTTGCTTACTATTATTACGTTGTGAAGTCATTCAGTACAAATAATATAACGAAACTTTCCGGAGCAAACAAAAAATGACCAACTTCGTTGCAGGAAACAACGACTGTGGGTAGCTCCGACCTCCCATGGAAAAAATGAATTGAGAAAGTCATTCTCCATGCCTAGCTTGTTTGGATCTTATATTATACAATTTGATGATTCAAGTAAAAGAAAATGAAAGACTAGTGCATCAAAAGCATTGATTCTCTCTCTTGCTGTTAACTTTAAGGTATTGCGTATCGATTTTGTATTTTAACAAAATATCCAACTAAGACAGTGTTTTTAATTACTGTATTTTTCAGTAGCTTGCCTTTATATAATTATATATACATATATTTATATAGATATATATATATACATATATATATATAGATAATATAAAATGATGTAAAGTATGATGCCACGTTTCTTCCACATATATAATCGAAACATATATATATATATATAAAAATATACAAATGTACGGTATATAAATTTGTTCTTGGTGTTACTGATTGACGTTCAAATATGGTAAATACATTTGTTACTGGTGTTACTGATTGACAAGCATCACATCAAGTGATAGACTTTCTTTTAAAATCTTTGTTCCCGGTGAGCTGGAGAAGTGACAGGGTCCACCAACACGACTTCATTCCGAGTGATACAATCTGCATTACCATTATTTTGTTTCTAATGAGCTGGGGTTAAGGTAGGGCACAATAACAAGACATTGCATCGAGTGATGAAAGCCTCTTCTACAGTTTCTTACTGATGTGCTGCAGTGGGTTCTTTGATAGGGTCTAACAACAAGACCTCACATTGAGTGGCTGTTTCCGGCAAAGTAATTGAACACTAATGAATAAAGTTATTGAATTTGACTTCCAGTAACACCGTGTACTGATGAAATCGCATCACAACCATGTTTTTCTTGCAATGACCTTTACAATCCTGGCTTTACTTAGATTCCTACATTTCCCTGCTCTGTTACTTTCTAAAATTCAATTTCCATGTATAACTCTATTAAGAATAATAAAATCACTATATACCGTACATCATTTCAATGTAAAATACAAATGGGTTGTTTCCTGTAAAAATATTAGTGTAAATACTAATACTAAATAAAAATAGTATTATAGGCCTATAAATAATGGTGATAATAAATAACAATCATTATAATATTTTGTTGTTATAATTATTATTAGTAGTGGAATTCATAACAAGAACTATAATGATAATAATAATAATATAATGATGATAATATTTATATTAACAATAATGATTAATATAATTTAAGTTTTCAGCTCATGACCTATTAACAAAAGGTGTGCTAAGTTTTTCCTGAATGAGACGCGTGCAAAATATTATATTATGTTAAATCGAGTCAGTGGTTGGTTGGGCCTACATTAATGATGCGCAACATTAAGAATGTAAATTTTTTCACAAATGGTTACCACACTAATTTCTATGAGAACTTTATTTTATGCATTTTGTCATATCATTCTTGGCTAATTACAGCTGCGGGCTTAGTATGTGACGTCAGAACATGTTACACGGATGAGTACCTTCGCTTAACGTTTGAATGCACAAGTCAATTTCAACATCCGTAAGCAAGGTGTTTAACAACATTTCCAGTTACTTTAAAAACGCATTAAAAAGAGACGGTCATGTTTATTAAAAACTGTAGGAAAACACCCTATAAATCGACACCTTACGGGCTGCTAAGATTCCTCGTTATTTGGTTCCAATTTTTCTGACACAATGATTCCGAAAAATGTTGAAAGTAATTGTATGAATTAAGTTCCATCCGGGAAAGACGAGATATTTGGACTCACAGCATCGTTGATTACAACACTAATAAAACACATCCGGCAAAATGTTAACCTCAACGACATTAAAACTTAACTTAATATTTTCCATTGAGAAACATCTCATAAAAAAAAAACATGGGAACAAATTTTAAAAATTACACTTCAAAATATTTGTCGTAAGGACGGCATTAAAACGTAACTTAATATTGAAAAACAGCAAATAGAAAAAAATACGCGAACAAATTAAATAATTTAAAATATTTCGAAATTAGTCTACATAAGTTGAGGGTGAGGAATCTGTTGGTGTGAAAAAACTATCTGTGGGTGTGAAAGAAAACGTTGCCCCGACCTGGACTCGAACCCGCAACCGTCTACATTATCAGAAGTTCCGGGGTTGCAGCCCCGTTTGAAGCAACATTATTTTTAGTTGTTTTTCAGTCTCGCAGATTTTTCTTGTACTATTCCTGGTTAGTGAATGAAGGTAGAAGGAAGATATTGTCGACAAAAACAGATTTCAGTCGAGAAAGGCTCGAAACAATTAGTGGAGAAAAGCTAGGCTTACATATAAGATGTATAAATAGAACACAGGTAGCACTTTATGTTTAAGTACCTCAACAAAAATAATGATTAAACACGCTTTTGCCAGCACACAATAATAGCTTCATAAAGTCAAAGATGGTAGACGGATAATGAATAACAAAGAGTTAATATGAAAGCCAAGAATGTAATTTGGAGATGAACGGAGACAATTTCCTTGCACCACAATTATGTCTAAACAACAACACGTCGGTGTCAGAGATTTAGTCTAGAATTTAGGAAGCAGGCCATATCGATAAAAATTCCAGGGTCATTTAAGGGGAGGGATGGAAAAATACCACGTGGGTGTGCCAAGTACCCACTAACCTTGCAATTATTATCTGAGTCACCTATAGGTCATGGGCAATAAACTTTTGAGCTGTTGATTCAGGAATTTCCTTCTTTGAAATTCTAATACAATTATATTGGTCACATGACAACCCCCCCCCCCACTTTACATTGTGAACTTATCTGACGAGTAGTGGGCAGCGCCTTGTTTGTAAAGCGCAAGCTTAAACTACATGGTCAGTGGTTCGACCCTAGATGAATAGGTTGGTAATTGTATTCATATGTTACGCAAGAAGACAACAAACATGCTGCGGGACAAAATGCAGTAAAATTTCTTGATTTGGAATGATTATGCCTCAAGCAAAACATATTTTCAATTATACTAATTATTTCCATCCAATATTTCGAAGATACTGACAGAGGTCATGGACCAGTCCTTAAGTTTGACAACTAAAACTGGGTGGTAATTTTATAGTGTGGGGAAATACGTCCATATTAGGAAGACAGATGCCACGCGGGAGCTGTCTCTTATACACATCTAGATGTGTATAAGAGACAGGTACCAACCATACCCCCTTCAAACTAGTCATAGAATTAATATTTTTCAATCGGAATTATGAAATGTTACGGATATTATGTTAACGAAGTGTAAAGCAATAGTAATAAAAATAGTAAAAGCCGTACTTCATCAAACTGATAAAGCACTAGCATGATGACAAAGGCCTATGCAATTATGTTTTACAGAGTTTGTAGGTGTTCCATGATCACATGTGGTCGATTAAACTATATAAAGAAAATGATATTAATTTAATAACAGTTATTACAATGATGATTGACATATTGGGAATGAACTTTAATACATTACAGTTGGTGATTTATTTGGAAGATATTGTTGCTGACAAAATTCCACTAAAACAGAGATTCTATCCAATGTCATTCATTTTATCGAAAAATAAAGCCCTGTCCAGACTATCAAATAGTTTTACAAGAACATGTGACATGCCTAAACATGGTCATGATGACATCACATCATGACCATATATAGGCACATCATGACTATGGGCATGAAACAGGTTTTGTCAAAGCAACTTAGATAATCTGAACAGAGCATTAGACTTTAATCAGAACCGAACAATTATTGACATTTTACAAATTATTCCAGATTTTTAATGTCTCATTGTATTTCCAATTTTTGTTTGATCTGAAGCTTCATTTAATTAACTTAACGTGATAAAACACTGAAACACTTGTTTCTTTGACAAATATTTGCCTTTTGCTTATCCTAGATAGATATTCAATATGATTCGTTGTGATCGACGGAACTCACACTCTCCCCTCATCGTGGAACTACGTGGAACTATTTGTCTTCAGTCGCTATGCTTCGCAATCTAATTATAGAACTGATTTCCTATAGCGTGGCTCATAACATTCAGAGATCATTATCTAGAATATTAATCACGACATTAATGATCGTATTCTCAAGGTGATAACGTCATGAATATTATTTTCTATAAAAGACTGAACATCCTGAGTGAGCCTTAGGGGTCACTGTACTCGATTGAGGGGAAGGGGACTAAACGAGGCGTTTAGTGTTCGCAAGGAGATGTGTCTTTGTTGTAAAAAAATCACTGTATTTTGCTATGTTCTACAACCTACTACAAAACGCAGACCCATGGAAAGTTCTTTCAAAATTGCATGTACTAAATTTTTAAACACTATACATTTTTTATTCAAAATTCGCCAGACAGTCTTAAACTCAATTATGATAAGAAATCAGTACGGTATCAGTACAAATAAAGAATTGCTTTTATCAGTAATTTCGCCCAACCACTGACTTCGTGTAGTTGTCGGAAATGGAAGTTAGGCCTAATTGTCGTATCATAAGTCGAACTTTCCACTTGAACGAACCAATATGACGTCAATATGATTTGACTTTGCTCTAAATATCTAGTTATTAGCAAATTAAGGGTGGAAACTCAGATTACTAGATTGCGAAACAGAACCCAAAATAATGCCAATATTAATAGTGTACTGACAGAGGTCATGGACCAGTCCTTAAGTTTGACAACTAAAACTGGGTGGTAATTTTATAGTGTGGGGAAATACGTCCATATTAGGAAGACAGATGCCACGCGGGAGCGACCAATGGAGTCATGACATCATGCGTTTCTTTGTGTACCAACACAGATACACATTGCATATTATTTTATTATTAATTTATTTAATTGGAATGGATTCGGAAACACCATGGATAAGCCCCTGGAAGTTTGAAAACAGTGGGGTTCTTCTGATTTGGGTAGTACACCAGCTGACATTCTCCTGCTCTTTCCAAAAATGTGAGACTGCCTTCTTAAGGTACACATGAGCAATATAAAAACAGGATTAACGACTTTGAAAGAGTAGATACAGTACCTGAAAATATTAAAATTCAATTGTTTTGGTCTGTGTGTCTTTGGAAGTTATACATTGATCGATCCTTTTATTTCAACATAAATGTTTTAATTTGATTTTAAGTGTTATTTTGATCTTGAAATTTAGACACCAATGTGCGGTCCTACATTTTGATGAACTACATTATTTCCGTTTCATAATTACCGTTCGGTAATTAGCGAGACAATATTTTTGCTTTCGGCTGAATAAAATTAAAATATAACCTAGTAACTCAGCACGGAAGTAAGGAAACAGTTGCAAATTTTTAAACTATTAACTTACAAATCACAAATGACATTTTTTTCTCTTAGGAAACCAAGGAATTGTGTTTTTCCAGTTAGGTAGACCTGCAGTCCGGTACACTGTCGTCGGCTGACGCCATTCCACAGATTGAACGCAACACGACGAGGCGCGCGTAACTGTGTTACTACTCAAGGTATAAAACAGCGGGAGAAAATACAAGACAATACAAATATACATGAAAGATGATATGCAATATAGACTTGAGAAAGACGCAATAATAGCCCCTACTTACACTCGATTAGTTGTAAATACCTCCCTATATGTGCACGTTTACCGTAAACATGGATGGAAGAAGGCCTACAGTGTATTTACAGGAGTTTACAGTAGGCGAAAATTATGATAAACGATTTAAAGTAATTCACTGAAATGAGAGCTCAAATTATTAGGAAGAGAAAAATAAATTAATGGTCTCAAAATTAATCATGGTGTTAATATCTGTGCAAAATCAACAAATTATTTTTTAAGTCACTGTAACACGCGTGTTTATAGGAGCTGAAATTGCAACCGATCTTTAAAGAAACCATCGGTTGTACCATGGACCACCTATCAATAGGTCCATGGTTGTACTTACTTATGTATAATCCTTATTTTGCATGAAATTAAGGACAATTTCCTGTTTACGTTCTTATATTTGGCAACGTATTGTAACTGTTTTAATTCATTTCTCCTTTTTCCAAAGAAAAAGTAAACAAGCAAAACGAGAATTTTGTTTGGTGACCGCATCCACTTTGGATATCATCTCAGACAGTGACATGGCGTAACGGCCTATGCGCTCTTGTGCGGCAGTTTACAGGGCCCCAGTCCCACTTCAAAGGGGATCGACACATAGGCCTTATCAGTCACCGAAACAACATAAGCGACTAAATCGCAGAAAAATGCATGAAAAGTACTGCGTGTGCATAGTAAAGTAATAATTTGACGACTTTTTTTGTCAAAAAATGACATTTTGAATGATCAAACTGAAACAATGGCATATCCAGCTGACATTCAAAATGGACACAATGAGAGTAGTTACACTAGATTCGATCATTTCGCGAAACATTCTAGATGAACTGAAGATTAGGCATATGTTCTAGAAATGCTTAAACGAAACGATTAAAAAAATGCTACCATCTTTCCTGGAACTGGCAACAATATTTTTATTATCATAACATTTCTGCTGTGTACAACAGAGACCTTCAAACTTCTGAGAACAATAATTTTTTAATTTCCATATTATTTGCATCTTCTACAGATTTAGATCATTCTCCAGTTGACTCAACAAAAGAAACATCAACAAATTGTACATTATTGTGATTACTATTTAATTATGAGCCAAATAAGGTGTTGTGGTGTATTTCATAAGAACATCTCTCGACAGAAATTTTTCACACAGATAGAAAAATAGAAAATCCATCAACATGATAGACTACTTCACACAAAGTACCATTTTCAAACAAAGTTAGCACTGTCCACACAACAAAGATTTTATGTGACAATACCTGATTTGCCCATGTGACATTTGTCACATAAATCTTGATAGTAACATATTCTATTTAAATTCTATTTATTTCACATTGTATTTACACATTATGCTCTCACCACACCATAGCCCTTTAAGTAGCATAAAGAAGCCACGTTTATCTTCAATGGGACAATTACATTAAATTATTAAAAGATAAAGTAAAAATCAACTTATGTTTTACATATTATTTTCCTCTAGGGCAGTTGCTGAATGAAACCAGTTACATGTACTGTACTACCGATCTTAGCATGAATTAAAAACAAGTACCTGATGAATAATAAGCACCTAGAGAACCATCAGGGAAAATTGTCTTTTAAACGCAAAACCCTGGGTTCAAATCATGTCATATGTCAGGGTTCAAATTATGTCAAATGTCAGAATTATATTTTGAGAACATCATTCACAGAAATCCACACTGCAGGCCAGTGGACAGGGGCAGATCCAGAATTTTTCAAACAGGGAGCACAACATCTTAAGAATAGATGTGAGTAGTGCTAATCTTAATACATAACATCGATATGCTTTGAAATTAAAAATTTAGTGCCCCCCCACCCACAACTGAACTGGATCTGCGTCTGGCAGACTTGCTGCATGAAGAAGTGGAGCTTTAGCTAACGTTTTTAAAAGACCTGACTTCAAATACCAGACTCCTGTGTTCAAAATCATTTAACACGTGACATCAGTGTTTGTTCTCATAACTAAGGCTAAGGCTGGTGATTGTACTTAAAATGAAAAAACACAGAGCTTGTGTGTATAAAATATATTAGTCTAAAAGTACCGTTGTTGTGTCCTATGCTAATAAAGCTACTTTCATATCACTATGGTAATTCAGTAAGACATGGCTTTAATCTACATATTTGTACAATTTATATTTACACAATAAATAAGTATTCATACAGTATATTCCTAAAAATTAGGGAGGAGTGAGAGTGCTTGTTATCAATACCTTCTGCATGTTTCCAGAACACAAAATAATCATGAAAAAAACATGAATTGCTAAAATATATAAAAATTAATATTTTAAAAGAAACTATGACTGATTATTCATACTAAAAGTTCATTGAGAAAATAATTAATTGCAATGCAATTTCCCATAATATTGTACTACTAAATTTTCATTAAAAAAAAAAAAAAATTGCATCAATTGAGTAAGGGTCTGTGCCTGCATATACATACAGGTTCTAAAAAGTGCATCAAACCTTCCATCCATTGACTCAAAACATTCGAAGAAGAAACTTTAGTTTTATTCCAAAATTATACTTGAAGCTGTCAAAATGAATTTCCTAGTTAAACGAAATGCCACAAGATGTTGCATAGCTTCAGGCAATAGTTAGCTTTATAAACCATTTGCAGTTGTTTTATTTGGGGCTAGACATCAGATAAGTCCACTAACGTAATGGTCTATTTGACGTGTGAAGCATGCGATATCTCCGGTGCGCATGGTAAGGTACGTTTACCTTTTGTAGGTGTCAACACACCTTCGTGCCTCTCGCGTTCGAATTTTTTCTCCAAGACCGCTATCAACTCATGTGAGGCTGACTTTATCTGTTGGCTGGCTATGAGGACGAGGTCGCTAGGGCGATGAGGTTGAGTAGATGCAGAAGATTGCTGGGATGCGTTTGATTGTAAGGATGTGTTTCCGGACATCATGGATATAGTTTGCCAAGGAAGCAGATCCACTGTGGATGATGCTTCCGCTAATTGTTGTGATGTTTTTATTATACAGCCTACAGTTTGCCCAAGCTGTTGCAATTCGTAACGTTGCCCTGTAAAAAACATATTCAAAAATAATTTTCTAAAACTCCACAACTATGTACTAATTTCTAAATAGTGTATGTTTTGTTTTACCTTATATTCAGCTCATGTGCAAAAAAAAATCAAACCTGTTTACTAAGACACCACAAATATATATTTTGTTTAACCAGGGTGATTATTACACTATTACTCCTTAGCCATACCTATTACATTTTCCATGGCTATAGGTATGTGATGCAACTAGGCCTAGCTAAATAATGTTTACCTAATTCTTTTTGTAGTTTGATTAAATTCCAAAAAAGGGAAATTAATACGACTATATTTGTTTTCCATCCATATGTCAAAAAATCATACACTGTTGAGTAATAGTGCATTTGCTTGTATACTAATTTTCTACTAGTGTATAAAATTTTCTTTTTACTGCAGTTTTTGTACTCATTTCCTATACAGTTTAATGTACAGGAAGCAAAAAAAGATACTAAAAATGCATAAGGAACAACATATACAGTATTGCTTATTATCATCAAGGACAGACAGCTGCAAAATGACAAACAAATTATTAAAAATAAAGATTGCCAAAAAAAAAAAACAAAAAAAAAACTCACAATTACCATTTAAAACATGTGATGATATTTGGGAGACCTCCTGTACATAGTCCGCAAGAGCACCAGTAGCCATAGCCACATTCTGATTCCTCTGACACCTTCTCCAGTAAAAGACATCTGGTAAGGATTCGTCAATGTTCATGGTACAGGCTAACTCGAACTGAGTTTCCTGGACCTTGATGAAAAGAAGACGAACTGATCCAACTACTGGTACACAGTTTTCAACTAACCCGCCTTCCATCTAAAAAACACATGGGTATAAATATAAACAAATTCATAATCAACCAACTACAGAATTGATAAGCAACCAGTAAAAATCAAAAAGTAACAGCAATTTGTCTAAATTTAATATCTTAAATATAATTTAGCAATTATCTGCACCCCATCCAAAGTAAACACTGACAGATGCAACTGAAAGCTAAAGGCATTGATGCGCTGTTTACTGCATAGTTCTGGTCAGGTATGTGCGTCCCATGCACTTCTGGAGAGTTAAAGTCCTTTCCCATATTGCATTCACTACGCAGGTCACATGGAACCATGTGGAGTTACATCCCCACTCCAGGAATTTAATTTCAGAAATTTGAATGTCAATAAAATATCTTTTCACATATTAAAAAGAAAATCCCAGCATTGATAAAATCCAAATAAAATTCCAAATGGAAACTTCATCTCTAGGGTCATACAAAACACCAAACAATTGGCACCTTAAAAGACCCAAAAATGTTAACCTCAATCAATCAATAAATCAATCAATCAATATATTAATTAATCAATCATCAATCTAGGTCATGGTATATTTGCAAAAATTACATGTAACTGTTATTTAAAGTTTTGCCAAAGGAAACATCATACGCAACATCTTTATAGCTCTGAGACAGCTACTACAAAATATGCCAAAAAATGCAGCAGACCATGAAAAGTGACAAATTTCAGCCTTAAACTGCAAAATTCAGCTTTTTTTTTTTTTTCAAAGAAAAGTTCTTTTCTGCCATGCATGCCAACTCAAGTGTAAAACCACAAACTTTCTAACATTTAAGATTGGTTTTACTTGAGTCATAAAACCTCTGGTTTTCTCTGACCTTATATAGGCAAATAAATAAAATTGAAATGAACTTGGCTGTGTGGAACAAGCGTACCTGTGTGTCTTGCACCTTTTGTAAGGATGTCTGAAGCCTCTCTTCACAATCTCCTATCACTCTTAATCCTTCTTGTATCGTGCGGTCCACAAGCGCATCAGCACCATCTAAGATACCTTGCTTCAGTGCACAATCAATCTGATAGAAACAGAGGCATCCAGTAATTAATGGTCTTAAGTGGTTTAAGTACTAAATATTAACATTTAAGTTCACAGGTCACCACAGAAGGTAAGATGCTTGTCTACAGACCATGGCTTCAAATTGTTTCTGTGACTAATATATTTGTACTTCCACTGACCACTCACCCCCCCCCCCAAACCCACACCGCCCTTACTGCGAAGTCAAATACTATAATAATAAAACTATAATTACACAATTATGCAAACATATTTTTTTTATTTATAACACTAACAGCATTACTGGTGCTTCTCTTGAAATTTACATGGTACGGGATGTGTACTAAGAGAATATTGTTTCCATAAACCTGCCATGAGGATTAAACGGATATCCTGAGATGTCAGAGAGACAATTACATTATAATAAAAATTACGAAAAATATATGTCACTCAAAGAACAAGCCACATTGAACGGATATCCTATAAAGGTAGGGTGACAAATAGATCATAATATAATTTACAAAAATAAATGTCACTCAAGTCACATGTTGCTGTTCCGATTAATAAATATCATGGTATGTTCATGATTAGTGACAATTGCATGAAATGCCTACACCAACAAGTCACATGTTGATGTTCCTATTAATGACAATTGTGGTGTCATGGTATATCTACATTGGTGACAAATGTATAAAATTTCTAAACAAACAAGTCACATGTTGATGTCCACATTAGTGAGTTTGGTGACATGAGATTTGTCCACATTAAATGAGTCACATGTTGATGTCCACGATAATGACTAAAATATTGGTATGTGTCTTTATGTGAAATATGCATCAGTGACATATGTTGTAGGTGAAATGTCCAAAAAACAAGTTACGTGTCAAATTTCTACATCAGTGACTCATGTAGAATGTGAGTTGTCCATAGTGGTATGTGGAATGTCTCCAAGTCACATGTTGTATGTCTGTCCTCACTAATAAACCTTGTGGCATGTGAATTGTCCCCATTATTGTGTCACATAGTGGATTTTATGTCCACATCAATAATAATATTAATAGCAACTATAAGTATGGCTATTAAAAATAATTATGTATGTGTATGAAATGGCAATACTTTTACATATCACACAGAAGGTCAATATTAATGAATTAGGTGAAGTGTAAAATTTTTATATTATGTTTTTAATCATATTTTAATAAAAAAAAAAAAAGAAGAAAGAATGCTTATAAATTTGTTTTATGCTGTTGTCTTTGAGAGTGGCACTAATAACAACAACTTTAATTATGACTCATGGATTAAAATGAATAAACTGGTCAAACTAAAAAACCACGCTAAGTGAAATAGTGCCCTCAACAGTCTGACTCAGCATGTATCGTTATAGTAGAGAAGATTGCCTTTTGGATGTCACTGGCATCAGCATCACTAAACACTATGTAATAAATAAGGGGGTAAAATAGACGACAAAAGAAACAAAAGGGAAAAAATTGAAATCACAGTGTAAACATCAGCATTGAGGGCAGCAGACAAACCAGAAATTAAAAATAAGTTGATGAGAAAAGTCAATTTATAAGCATTGCTTTAAACAGAGAAATACCTAATCCAAGCCATATTTCTGAAAAAAAGATGTCCTCTTATTTAGGGTTTAAGAAGTTTGTCCATCAATCATGGATTCAAATTCTATCATCGGTCAACCGGATTTTTAGTCACGACTATAAGACAACTCCATACCCTATTAATACCTCGAAAAAGAACTTAGTTAAATGAAAAAGCACCATAGGTAGTGTGTGAAGAAGTTGAGTGTACTGTCCATAGAGGGAGTCCTCCAGTCAGATTTGCTGGCAGAGGCACTCTCCCCCACCCACTCTCCCACTCCACAAAAAAGGTATAATATACAGTAAACATACCTTTGGTGTACTTTCCTCTCTACTGCTTCTTTCTGGATCCAGTGTTGTCACCTCTGTTTCCGTAGCGATCGCTAATTCACCAATTATTCTGGCAGTGAATGTCAGTCCTTTGGTGATCTCTTGCTGGGATTCAGTAACCATGGTTACTATGTCACCCTCACATCCCTAACACCAAAAAAAAAACAAAAAAAACTACTTCATACATACTTAAAAAATGTATACATATAGCACAGACATATTAAGCCATGCGACCTCGTGGAAGAGATTAAAAATTTAAGTTTTAGAAAGAAAAGAATATTAACTTAAACACTATTCTTTTTAAAAATACAATAGATTACCTGTAACATCTTGCAGAAGTTGTTAACTATCTTCCTGGTACTGTCCACCAACTGTTCAGATAGATCTTGTATAAGACGTCCTTCTAGGCTAGATAAGTTCTTAGCCCACTCCAGGGCTTGGCTAGACATGTATTGAAGGCCCTGAGTAGCTTCCATGATGCTGGTGTCAACATCTACACCACATGACATATCACCTGCAGGCAATGAGAACAGAACAAAGTTTTCCCTCCATTACTTAGTTTATGGTTGCATATTCTACTAACGGTAACATTATCATGTGTTTACATGTTCAACAGTTCAAGGAGATAATGTATGTGTACTTCAGAATATATGAATTTTTTTTTAAATGGATTTTTATTGTGGTTATTACCTGTTTGAACAAACAGTGCTATGCTGCCCTCTTTAGGTACTTACTTGAATTAATAAATGCATCATTCTTCTTCCTTTGAAAAAGCTCAATAAAATTAACAGCTGTTAGAATTTGTTGCATCTGGATAAGTAATTCATCAGCAATGCTGTGCTCTTCCATCTGAAAGTTGTCCAGTTTGGATAAAATCTTTCCAAGAGTTTCCCGACAGAGATTCGGTATTGGCCACGCATCTAGTGGACCCTCCTTTTCTCCTAGATTAACCAAATAATATGATTTGAAATTAGAATTACAGCATATCTGAAAAAAATATATATGAAATCCAATTTAAATCTGAAGAACATCATAAATGTTCGCAATGGAGTGAATTTAAGTCATTAATTTAGTTTGAAGAAATATGGACAACAATTTATTTAAAAAAATTTAAACAATTACAATCAGCATCAGACAATAATGCTGGATACATTTTTTGATATTCTGCACCTTTTTTCTGCTTTTTTAAATATTACCTGAAATTGATGGAGATGCAGACAAACATCGACTTGACCTAGCACTTGACTGAACAGATGATAGGCTGCTGCTAGTACTACTGCTGAAAAATTGGATAAAACAATTATGCAGTTAGAAAAAAAATAATTGTATCTCCAGGTCACCCAAAAATAAAACATACTGAGCTAAACAAGTACATTAAAATACTTAAAACACTTCATTCCCTAGCAAACAACTCCATTTTGGTATCAATTCCCACTCCCACCCCCCACCTCACCCAACATTCATCCCCCCTGACAATAATCCTAGATAGGCTAAAAGGTTTTTATTAATTCAGCACAGGCAATAATAGTTTGCTATTATGACCAGAAACAAATCAATAATGAAACTTATAAGAGCATAACATATTTTTATTCTGTAATCGATGCTTGTCCTTATGCAAGACACTTTATCTGCATTTGGCTCTCTTCACCCAGTCGTATTAATGGGTATCTGGTAAGTGGTGAATGATTCATAATGAAATTAGTAGAGCTGATTACACGCATAACTAGGAATACTCCCCAGGGAGCAGAGGAGGTTGCACATTGTGTATGATTGATTCTATATTCAATCACTAGGGAAAAAAACGCCTTGAACAGTTTTCTGGATATGTGCGCAATATAAATCCTATGAGATAATAGTGTAATAATAATAATAATAATAATAATAATAATGTTACCTTGGTAGTAAGGGGCTTGGAAGATTCATTTGGATGTCTTTTTGCCAGGAGTCTTGTGGATCATAAAAGACATCATCTCCTTGGGAGCAATCCACATCAACACTCTACGAAAATATTAAAAATACCAGAGAATTATTTTGTTTCTATAAACTTCTATTCAAATAAAAAATTAGGTTAAGAAAAGCATCATGGGCACTAGACTAAATATGAGGATTGAAATCCCCAAAACAGCGTATTCTCGCTAAATGTTAAACTGAGTAATTAGAATAAGAATGTTGCAGTATTGTATACTTTAGTACAAAGAAGCCATAATACTTTTACTCATAACTTTTGCAATAGTAAGTCGATTTCAGTATCATTTTAAAGCTTACAACGTGGAAAATAAGTATATTTCATTCATCATTTCTGAGAAACTAAACATTTAAATTATTTAGTATCACAAGAAACACCTATCTTTGGTTCAACACCAGATAAATAACACAATAATCATAAGCTCTAACCTGATAAAGTTCTCTCATTTGTAGCAGTTTTTCTTCAAATTTATCCAGACTCCAGTATGTGACAATTCCAAGTCTAGTATTGTTCACACGAATCTTAACCACCATGTTTTGACTGGGGTCACTGGTCGCCACATCTTGTCGACTCAAAATCTTAAAATAGAGAAACACATACAGTATATCTATATCACACAGCACAGTGGGAATGGTTTGGTTTCCCAACCTTGAGGTGAAAGGTTTTAATCCTTCACTGTGCTTTTCACTCGTGTCCTTGAGGAAGGCACTTTATCTACATTGCTTCAGTCTACCCAGCTGTATCAATGGGTACCAGTAAATTGCTGAGAGCAACCTGCAGTGGACCAGTCATCCAGTGGAGAGCATCACACTCTCATCTGCTTCAAGCTACAGAAACTGGGGATAAGCTCCAACGCTATGAGCCCCATGGCTTGGAAAAGGGTTTAAATCAAGCAATCCGTGATTTTATTTCTTTTCTTCCTCCATTTTTTATACCAATGAAACATTAATAATAGGCATATGTATCAACAGATTAAATTTCCTTACAGTAGCACTGCAATCATTTTCAGACTATAAAAAAAAACACAAAAAAAAACCCTAAATACATTTTTACATTAATTATGAATATTTAACAAATTATTTATCCTAATTAAGAGAGAATAATCTTTTTCTAAAATCAAAATCAAAAAATAGTCTTTTATAATTAATTTTACATCCAACAGCTAATGGATATATTATGTAGTTGATAAAACAATATTAATTATAATTTTTATCCAACAAAATCTGCAAATGGACGAAACCTTACTGTGTGTTTCTTGAGTGTTTTGCTGATGTTATTTGCTTCCTGGAGATGGATAGACAGACGTAGTAAATCCAGTCTACTTCTGTAGGGATCTACGAAAAACACAAGAGAGAAAATCATCATCAGTATATCAATATCATATTTATGATGGCATTTGTTATAATACTCATCGGTCAAATAAAATACCCATGATTATAATTCCAATGACACTGATGCTACTGCTGCTAACAATAACAATGAAACTATGATTGCTAGGAGGAGTGTTATAGGAATTATTATTCTGCTCCTAGTAACACCTATATGAATGAGGTTGGAAGCTATTGGAGGGCAGCTTTAAGTAAGAACTGTTTCATTTCATTTCTTTAGGCACAAGCCCCAAGGATATGCCAATCAGTGAACTTAATCACTATCCTATGTGGCATATCCATTAAATGACAGGGGATTGAATGGACCAGTACACCGGGGTAACCCCTACTCTTTTCAAAGGACGTACTGGGTTCTTTTAAGTGCACACGAGCCAAATGCAAACACTGACCTTACGGTTTAAAGTCCTTATTATCCAAGAAAACTTGTTCCACCACCGAAACCATTCGCAAGTGAGCTGTTTGAACCAGCGCCGATATTATAGCTGAAGGTTACGGTGCCCCTGACTTAACCACTTGGCCAATCAACTCGCCAAGTTTAAATGAAAGCGGGTGGCACAACCGTTGTTGCTCAGACACTCAAACTTAAATAATAAAAAAGACAACAGTGATTAAAAAGAACAAGACTGACCTAATGTTGCAACAACAACTTTCTTCTTTTCTTCATGCTGTAGCTTCAGCTTGTGGAGCCTCTGAATGCTCTTCTCCATCCGAAGCTTTTCCTGCTGAAGTTCCATGATGACGTGGGAGTGGCTTAGCCTTTCCTTGGCAATAGCCTCCATCTGGATCAATTTCTTACCATCCGTCAGGATTTCTTCTTCCAGCATCTACCATATAGAGATAACAAAAAAACACTACAAAATTAGGCCTAGTGAAAGCTTATACTGTATAAAAAAAAACAATTTCTAAAGAACATATTGTCATTAGAGTTCATAGTTCACATTATTTGTTCTTTAGGGAATTTAAATTGACAAGTTTCAGAGATATGGAATTGATATTTGCATTTACTGTACCCTTTTTTGGTCCTGAAGCTTGGTTATCTTATCTTCAGCAGCAACATTCTGTTTTTCCTGTAGTAATGTGAAAATTGCATTGAATTATAAATGAACAAATAGTAGTGATGTTGTTAGTCTTTGAGTGGGATACTTACCTCAATAAACCAGCTACTTGCAAATTTTCAAATATGTGAGAATACCCCTTAAAAATTAATGAAACAGACTGTTGGCTCCTGACAGCCTGCATAAAATACTATCTACATAATAGTCTGTTTATACAGGTAAGTATTAAAAAATAAACAGTCAATATAAAAATGTCAACTTTGTGTATTAAATTGTCAGCAACATCAGCAAATCTGGCAGTTAAAGTGCTTACATTTTAATTTGAGGATACTGAATTCAAATCCTGTAAACACAGGAAATATTAGCTTGGGTTCCAGGCCCTAACTTTGGGTTACCCACTTTTTATTGCACTTAGTGCGTGTCATACCAAAATAATTTGGCTTCTTAACTTGTTTTCTTATTTCTCGGATTCTTATGTTGTCTCTGAATTAACTTACTTTTTGGTTGCTCTGTACAGAATTAGAGAAAGAAAATAATAAGGGACTTGTGGGAAGTCTAGGGAAATATATGTGGTTCATCTAAAAGCCAGCCTTTCATTATGTAATTGGCTAGTGTACTGCAATGCAGTGTGGATATGAAAAATATTTAATAAAGAAACTTGTCCATTATAGTATATGATGAGATTCAGGAGCCTTACCAACTCAGTGGACAATGAGATCAACCTGGCTTCATAATACTTCTTCTGTTCCTCAAGTTCTTGCTGGGCAGCTTGCTGTTAAAAGTATAAAAGAGTAAGTGAGGAATTGAGAATCAACTACCTTAACTTGTTTACTTGCTGTTGGATGTACAAAAAACTTGTTTAAAAAACTGAGATAGCGAATGGTATCTTACCTGATGTTCTTTGAGTTTGGAAGCTTGTTCACTCTCTAATCTAATAATACAAATAAAAAATTATATAAATAATTTGTTGAGAAAACTGTATTGTCATCATAACGATTCAAACTAAAGACCTTTCAATTATCTTTCAAATAATACAAAAGCAAAGATAACATGAACTGAAATTGAACCAGCAACCCTGGCAGTACAATTCCAATTTATATTATTCAGCTGTTTATTTCTACTCTCGTATAAAATAGAATATTAGAATAAGGCCTAAGAAAAAAAATTGTTTGTTTGCCCTCCAGCACCTGCCCCTAGCTAACTGAAAAAAAAACTAAAAAATTTGATTTTTTTTTGTTCACAAATTTAAGAAAGTGATCTTTATTTTTCTCCATTTTGCACATGAAAGTTGTCTAAATCTGGTGTCTGATGTAAGTATCTCCATTCTAGGCCTAAATTCATTGCAAAATATCGATTATGGGTTATTTTTATTCAGTCTGATGAATACTCTTTGAAAAACAAATAGTGAGACAGGCTTAATTGCAAGCATTGCGATTTAATATGTTAATTGTGGTGACAAGAGAAAACAAAAAACAAAAAACTTTTTTGCGCCCACCCCTCCTATACAATTTTCAGCATTAAAGGTCAAACAACAATTTTTTTTTAGGTCCAAGTATGAGGAGGAACTGACTTAATTGCTGTTTGGATTAGCAAAAGAAGGTTTTCACCTAATGTGAAATTTAAGAAAAATACTAAATTATTCTATCCATGAAGGAATAGGTAGTAATTATTTTACTCAATGCATCTCAGCTGTAAAGATGCTGAACTGAGATAATGTCTGAAGTGCTATCAGCACTCCACCTCAAGGTTCAACGATCAGCTACACGTTACTTGTCACTGGACAGTCATGCTCAGATGGATAGGCAAAATACATGCCCTCTGCTTGATGTAATTTTTAACAGAAATTCTCTGAGGTATCAACAGAGAGATCCCTTGTGGCCTTATGATGTATGCTAAGAAGATAATCTATAAATAATAGGTAGAATCTTTCCAACTGACCAGTAAAGGGCCTAGCTGCTCATTCAACCTTAAGAAAAGGGTGCTGACAGCACTTCATACACAGGGTAAGTCTATTTTCCACAATATTTTCTCAACATAAATGAAGGTTTTACTCAAAAGAATCATTGGGAACAGATAAACTTATATTCATCTTTATAGGGGATTAACTTCATGTACGGTTGTACAAAAGGTTGCTTCAGTTACCTGGTTATTAGATTTTGAAGGTGTGTCCACCCTATCAAGTTGCCTATGAAAAATCTGTGATTCACCCATATATGGGGATGATTCATTCAGCCCCTGTCATTGTGGAATGATGATAACATGTAGCCTGCCTCTTTGTGGCAGCTACCACAGACCACACCCTTATGAAATTCAGGACAACGACGCTGAAAGTTATGGGTTATTCTCTTATCTTTACCCTTACACGTGGTAGCATACGACTCAAACACTATACTGCTGTGCCATATGCTTGAATGACAAAATACAAAACGGTACTATCTCTACAAACCTTGCAGCTTGGGCAGAGATCAGTTCATTCCTGGCAAACTCAAAGTCACTTTGTTTACTACGAGATGATTTACGTTGTTTATGCCTTCCACTGCCAACCTCCACAGGGTGGTTGAATCGGAAATAGTGATCACCAATCACAATGCGATCTCCCTTTAAAATAAAAGAAAAATTCTTTAGTTATCAATTATATTATTCTACATTTTAATTATAGTACTGGTATATCAATACATGTATAAGTTTAAGTATGACAAAATTGTTACACCAACAAGTTTTTGTAAAACAAGAGAAGCATGTTAATTTGTTACATGTATCTATTGGGTGAAACAAGAAAATGATGTCATTTTTCTTGATAGTGATTGTGATAATGCAAGTACTATGAGAGTATTAGATAATCCCTATTTAAAATAGAATGTGAACAAAGTGCCTGAGTCTAATGGCCACCTTTACATGAATACAGTATATGTTACTAGCAAAACCCTTCAAGTAGGTATTCACCTAACTTAAGGGGCAGCTTATAGCATTATCCTCTGGTGCAGTACCACAGATGTGACCCAACATTTATTTATAAGGGAGCAGCATTAATTATTTTTAAAAATAATGTTCTCTTACGTGGTGCAATACTGTAGGAGAAGTGACAAGTGCCCCATTCAAGTATGTATCTGCCTCCAACATGGGACTGATGCTTACTATGTTTTTGACATTGTTGAATATACTGCAAAAAAATCCAATTTGATGTGTTTAAAAGAATACAGTTATAATTTGACATTAAAAACAGTTTAAACATACATAAAGAAGAAAGTACTAAGTAAATAATAATAACTTAAATTACTGTTATGTAGTTTTATAACAAAGGAAACTCATTTTTAAATTCATTGTAAATTCTCTTAGGTTAATTTTACAAGTATTATTGTAGATTATCTGTGAACAAATTATTATATATATATATATACATACCAGTGTTTTGGGGCCACTAGTGCACCCTGAAGCTGTATATCGTGTTTGGAGGATTTACTTTGTTGACCTACTATATTTTGACCTTCTTTTAATAGGTAGAGTAAAACTTCAGAAAGCTGAGGGTCCTCATTCAAATTCACAAGGTTAGGGAGCTTATTGTCTACCTTCAGTGAGATACCAGATTTCTGCCAAAAAAAAATAAACAGTTGATCAAATGTACATATTAATAGTAAATAAATATTTTGCTACACTGTGTATCTTTTGCATTTGAAAAAATAGACAGTTTAAAAGAAATGAAGAGTTCATGGCATTGAGGCTACAAGGAAGTAGAGTATGGGATAGCAGTTTAACATGAGGACCAAAAGCTATGAAACAGCCAAAAATTAACAAGGGCTGGCATAAAAGAAACCTTGACACACACATTAAAAAGCCTCTTAACCAGCCTACCTCTAATCCTCTCGACTGTTGTTCCCTACTCTTCTCACTCTGTTGTAACTTCTCCTGCCAAGCTCTTGTGGCTTCTGCCATCCGTCGTTCACTCTCGTTCAGCTGTTCTTTTAAAGACTTGATTTCTGCGAGACTTGACTGGTATGCCGTGTCTGACGCTCTTCCATTCTGACTTCTCCGAAGCTTCTCCACTTCTGATCGCAGTTCTAAAATCACACAAATTAAAAGTAATGTTAGTAAAAAACTAGAAATTTCCATTATTATCATGAGGTTTTCTGGTAAACAGATAACAGGCATCAATTGATTTTAATATTAAATAAACGACCAACGCAATGGAATTTCATGTCAATAACAGGAACCTTCTTTTGATACCTTTATTTATATTTTATTATGTCAGTAAATGAATTTAGATCTGAAAATGTTATGACCCCCATCACGACAGGGGTACTTGTGTCATTTTGTTAATTAGCAGGTGAACATCTTAATTGTGAACAGTTATTGGGTTATGACGGAGGATCCCATGCACCACCGAATATTATGATCAGTGTGTAAATTTGCTGGTGAGAATATATCTTAATTGTTGACACATGCAATAACACAAAATGCGAAAGTTTGTGCTAGACTCTTAAAAAGTAGCCATAAAAACTGGCAATGAACAATAAAACAACATAAATTAGGAATGATACAGTACCTCGTATTAAACGTGCATTTGGATCTTCATTCACCTTAGCAGCATTGATGATGGATCGCGCCTGCTTAGCATAACGAAGCGTGCTTAACGTCTCCTCAATGTGTATACTAGAAGGGCTGATAGTAGCGATCATGGCTGTCTTAGCATTGCCTCCTAAACTGTCCTTTAGCAACCTAAACAATGAGTTTATCAGTAAGTTTATAGGGCATATTTTACAAAGCATGTATCTATACACTATGCAATAAACACACAAAAACATAACAGATAACAGAAAATTGCTATCAGATGCCAGAGTTTCCCAGAATGTTTCCCTGTTTAAAGTTAAAGGTTCATGGAATAACGAAACAGCCTGAACCCTCTCTCAGTCTTGCATATCCATTTCAATGGAAAACAAAGCTATACATGCAGACCAGGGTTGGCTGCATCATCATCATCACTTTTAATATCAGTATCATTTTCATCATCAAAACCACCATTATTTTCATCATCATCATCATTTTATATCAACATCGTAGTCATCACTACTATCAGTATAATTACCATCATCGTCATCTACATCATCATTACTCTCATCAGCCTCATTATCATTTTCATCATCATCATCCTCATCAGTCTCATCAGCCTCATTTTCATCATCATCATTATCATCATCACTCCCATCAGACTCATTCACATTTTTATCATCCTTATAACTCTCATCAGCCTCATTCCCATCATTATTATCATCATCATCACTCTCATCAGCCTCATTCCCATCATTATTATCATCATCATCACTCTCATCAGCCTCATCATTATCATCAACATCACTCTCATTAGCCTCATTCTCATTATTATCACTCTCATTAGCCTCATTCTCATTATCATCACTCTCATCAGCCTCATCCTCATTATCATCACTCTCATCAGCCTCATTCTCATTATCATCACTCTCATCAGCCTCATTCTCATTATCATCACTCTCATCAGCCTCATTCTCATTATCATCACTCTCATCAGCCTCATTCTCATTATCATCACTCTCATCAGCCTCATTCTTGTCATCATCACTCTCATCAGCCTCATTCTCATTATCATCACTCTCATCAGCCTCATTCTTGTCATCATCACTCTCAGCCTCATTTTCATCATCATCGCTTTCATAGCAGCCTCATTTTCATCATCATTACTCTCATCATCATCATCACTCTCATCAGCAGCATTTTCATCAACATTATAGTATGATACTGTAATCATTGACAATGAGCGAACCATTAAATAGTATGCTCATAAAGATAATCTACCCAATCTCTAAAGGAATATAGGAGGCTCACGCAATAATTGATTTTTCCTTTCAATCATATTTCCAAATCTATGTTAAATCTTATGGCTTCTGCATCGAAAAAAACAAGCGAATTACTGTCTTTGAATAAGAAATTTTCAATGTCTGCTATTGCAATTATACTATGAATATTATTTTTAATGTTTTCATTTAATATATCTTTATTATTTACATTATTTAAATTATGGTTTATATTATTTTATCATTAATTTTCTTTATAATTATCATCAGTTTGTATTACTGTCATAATATATATCATTATCTTCAGCATTATTTATCATAATCATCACCTTTACAATTATGTTATCATTATCATCTTCTGTCATTGTTATCATCTTTGTTATCATCAACATCATCACCATCATCATCATATTCATCACCATTGTCATCATTATCATCAACATCAACATTTTTTTTGTAAAAAGTGTTATTTTTTATATACTTATCTTATTACATATTCATTCATTCATTCAGAAAAAAAAATATGGCTACATAGGCACTTGGCCTTAACTACGGTAATTGTCATTCACTCTTCACTCACTTTGCTTCATCAGTGTGTTCTTTGATGTAAAATTATATTTATCTTATTAGCAATCATTCAATCATTTTCAGACCTGCAGGCCACATATAAACAAAGTTATATAAGAGAAGCACTTTTCTTCTTACCATGTCAATACACTTTCTCTGTAAGGGATAAATGCTTTGATCCTCTTGTTTACTGATTTATCACAAAGATTTGAGATAACCTTGCCTAAGGTTAGAAGTGACTTGTTAATGCTTGCCCCTTCCTGCAACAAAAATATTAAGAAAAGATTAGTTATTGATAATTCATTTCCATAAATGATCAACTCAGATTAATATTTCAGTTAATGCCATTAATCAAGCTATAAGAAATGGATTTACAAGGGTGGAACAACACAAACATTGCACAGAATACAATGCATACAGGAAATTTTGAAATTGATGATATAATGAATTATAACTTTGCATCTGGTTTCTGGTTTTTATGTATGAAAATGGAGAATAAAGCTGTGCTTGCATTGGATAAATTTTGGTAAAAACATAAACAACCTGCAAATATTCTCCTTGGTTAAATTATGAAAGACATTGGCAATGGTGTATGTTTTCATTTATATTTTAAGGTTCTATAATTTGTTATCCCTTTCTGAAAATTGTTTTTTTATTTTCTGTATGAACAATTGCTTTTTATCGTTATCGTTGCAAGCATAACAGGTCTTTAAAGTCAACTGGAAATATGTTTGATGGCCCGATGTCCATGCATGAGGAGGGGTAAATTTCAACAACAATAACAACAACTCAACATCCCCTAAGCCTGGACAGCTTGGCATAACAGTTGAGTTTTTGGCTCTTCACCTTCAATCTGAAATTTGTAATCTCTTGCTATGGATTTCGCTTCTGTCCTTTTTATTGAGACACCTAATCCACATTGTGTCGATGAGCACATATGCATACTTTTCCTTGTAGGCTCAAATGCAATCACGCTGATTACTATCTACAGCATTATGCAATATTCCCCCCAGGGTGCTCAGCATCTGTTCCATAGGTGATTGATCTAATGATTGAGGTAATAATGTGAAGGGTATACAATAAAAGCCTTGGCATGATGTGCAATATAAGACCAATATATTATTTTTATAGATCATTTCAGTAATTGTCAAGTGTGCTTGAAGCAATAATGCTGTATAGCAACTGAGTACTGTATTCAGATCCATAGCTTATAATATCATTATGATTATCATCCAACATTTGTAACTAAAGATGATCTTCTTCTTATCGTGTCTATTCGCAAGTTTATATTCTGTAGAGGCTTGTAAACGTAAGTCTAAGAACTTGACATGAAGATTTTTTGTGTATAGTGGTGAAAGCTGATTGGTAGGAACAGGCGGGACATGAACGCTCCTTTCTTGACCCCAGTAAAGAGGATGGAATACAAGTGAAAACCACTATTTACATGTAGATGCTTTAATCACTAAGTGAGCAATAGAAAATAAATGAGCCTTCAAAAACCTGTATTTATTTTATAAACACTAGATGATGAATGCATGCCAGAAGGTAAGGCATTCCATAATTCCATAATGTGGGGGTGGAAAATGAGAATGATCATTTGTCAAGGTCCTTGAATCTTCATCTCCCTAAAATGGTAGGTCACAAGCAGACACACAGCAACCTGAGGAAAGCTGTTATTGTAGAAAATGTGGCACTCCACTTCACATTGATAAAGGCCTAAAACCTAACAATTATAGAATTGAATTAGGTACAATATACGGGAAAATCTTAAAATGAAGTTTTGGAATTTGGAAGAAAAAAAGGTTATTTTTACAGATTTGAACCCAGGACAATGGATTTGAAGGCAGGCATCTTACTTACACACCTAGTCACAGTACATCTCTACTCCTGTTTACACTCTAACATATATGCTCGAATTGCAATCACTATACTAATCCTACTACTAATCCACCGCTCACAATAACTTTGCGTTTCTGATTGCCGAATCAATAATGATAGAATCTAGAGGGATTAAGTGTGAGTATCAACAGCAGCACTGGCGATACATAGCCGGCTTACATGAATTATTCTGTTGGAGAAAAACATGACACATCAGTCCAACTGTGTACAAACAGAGTATGTTTCACGGTTGCCAGTAAATTATTGTTTAATCCACTGGGAATGCTGCTTACAATATAAAAAAAATACTAATTCAGTGAGCAAAGCTGTAGCTTGTTAGTTATGATCCTCAACTTCCCATCCCAGTGTCCTGGTTTCAAATTCAGGAAAACTAATTCAGGATATTTTCTACTACTTAAAGTCAGCTGCTTCATGCTGCCATACAATGAGACATTCCTGATGATGACATAATTAATGTCGAAATATTGAATCCCAACACGATGGCGTGTATTTCAATACCTGGAGTATGTATTATACTTTCTTATCTGAGATTAATCAGTGGACCTTTCGGTTTATGAGACATACTGTAGAAGAACAACATACTTCAACCTTTGGGAATAGTTGATGCACTTCTTTCACTCCCTCTTAAGTACATTAAGTACAGTATAAATGTCTTCTGTAAATGTTCTGGTATCTATACAGCACCTTTCCTTTAGGTTACAAAGCGCTTTGTTTTCTCTGGGTATTTGGTCCACATGCTTAAGATTTGCTGCCACACTGGTGCAGTAGCAGGCAACCCCACCAGGTACCCATTTAATATTATCAATCGCAGATAAAGTGCCTTGCTCAAGGACACAAACGAAATGCACAGTTGAGGGATTAGTTTGAGAAGATAAAATTCTTAAGCTGCGGCAGGATTTGCACACCTGTATATTGTAACCAAACCCAGGTGTGGATGGGGTAGGTATCACAAGGGCAGGTGTCATTGGAGGCAATGGGCATATACAAAAACATTGAATTAACATACAAGTGTCGACAATAACTTGTCTTTCATGCACCAAACCATACCTTAAGACGATCACCTGATGTAGCAGCTGAGGAGCAACGCTCACTGCCAGCAAGATCGATGAGGTTGATGCGACTTGTCACACGATGGATCAAGTCTTCTCCTTCTAGTTTTTCCATCTGAGCGTTACAAATAATAAAAAGTCCAAATTAAATCATATAATTTTTTTGTCTGCTTAGCATTTTTACATTTTTCAGAAACTGAGTTTGTAAAAGTTAATAATTGAAGACTGTGATCTGTTAATAAAGATAAACTATCTACTTTGAAAATTAACATTTTAAATTTAAATTGCTTACTTTTTACAAAATTATGTTTCTGAAATTAAAAAGATGCATTAATTTCACTGTTTTTAAATTCTTTGCCATACACAGGTCTACAAATTGATTGTTAATCCATTTAAGAAAGACAGTACAAAATCTCATTAATAATGGCCCTTTAAAGACAACCAAAACAAGGCCCTCTACTCACTAGTATTTGATGAATTTTATAAACAAGAGATGGAATTCTCTTACTGTATTTTATTTTCACAAGTATATACATAGTCAACTGCAGACCAGAGACAAAAGTCTCTGTAGACATAATACTTCATGTGTCCATAGGGAATTTTTACAGATTGGATGCGAAAGTCTATAGATAAATTATTATGAGTCTATGAACGTGTTACTTACAACACAGATAAAAGTATCTGCAGACCCATGAAAAATTGTAATTTTAATACAAAAAAAATGTCAATTCATAGTTCTTGTCATAATGGTTTGTTAAAAAAAGGGGCAAATTTATAAATTTTTTTTCCCCAGAAATGTTTTATGTTGTCTATCAGCCTAAACCTCTGTTCACATTATCAAGGATTATGTTACAAGCTTTAATGATTTGGACATTAATGGACTTGATCGACCGTTCCATGGCAAAACAACGTAACTTGAAATTTTCAATTTTTGAGCAAAATAGAGTTAAAGTTAGCATGCTTCCAACTTGGCAATAAATTGTCGTACCCTTCTTAAATTTGCAGGGCTTCTACATATTAAACATATGTAAAATTTTAATAACAACCATTGGTTTATTGCTAAGTTATTAACGATATTCACAGATACCTTCTTTTACCAGGAAAGATGTCAGCGGACGGTATTCTAGAAAGTGTGACATACCTTTTGAATTTATCACATATGGGACAATCATATGCATTATTAAGCTTGTGCATACATCTTTGTTAAGAATATTGATATGAAAACACCATCAACCAGTTGATTTGGCTGTGCCAAACTCTATCAGCTCAAAACAATTTTTAAATACCATTCAAAGGCAAAACAATGTATCTTCATTGTAGATACATTGTTTTGCCTCGTAATCTTCCAGTTACGTTGTTTTACCGGGGAAAAGCAGTAGATTTCAAGTTTTGTACTTAAAGAAAGGTGGTGCTATCTTAATTGGTAATTCATAAGTATTTAATACACAAATGGTATTATCTCAAAATCGATAGAAATGTCAGTTATGTTGTTTTTGCCTCGGGACGGCCGTGATGATGTCCTATCACACCCATATGTGACAAGTATTTGTCACATAGAAATTGACAGTGTGGACAGCAAAGTATTTGAAACCTTTTTCCACTGCAAAACTTGCCTTAGTTTTTGTCATGATAATTGTAAAGACCGAGTGTGATCGACTTGACTTATCATTCATCCCAGTGCTTGCTGTTGCTCTCTGCTTGTTACCAAGTTCAATCCACCCACATATATCAGCAAAGGATTTAGCCACAAATCTTGAGAATAAACAAAAAAATACATGTTAATTAATGAAGAAAAAACATAACTTGAGAACCTTGAAGGACATCAAATAATAATAATAATAATAATAAATAAATAAAAATCAACAGTATCCAAATTAATATATAAAATAACTAATAAATAGCCTAATAACTGCTCAGTTTGATAATTTACTGAAAATATGCATTCATGGTTAACATCTTCCTATGTACTCTCAGATCAGCCATAATTTTTTTAAATAATAAAAAAAAAACTTACGTTGATAATCCTTCCACATAAGGACCAAGTGTAGGGTGCTCACGAACACGCAACTTAACAATGTAAAATGAAACATGAAAAAGTTAGATAATAACATACTGAAATATAATGAGTGAGTGGAGCTATAGTTTGGTGGTTAATATACTTGCATTTCATTCCCAGAACACTGGGTTGGGATCATGTGAGATGCCATTTGCATGTTAATGTACACTTTCTAAAAAAAGAGATTGTGTCTTCTTATTTACTACCAGAAGGACCACATTGGAAGTAAGTCTTTAGACTTTTATATGTTATTCTTGTTTCACACCAAGGAAAATCAACTAAAATCAACTGCACTACTTTTTTTCAAGTAACTTTATGAATACTGCAACAACGCTCTTATTCATTACAGTGACATAGAGATAAACAATATGACATACAGATATGACATCATTGTCCCCATTGGCATTAATGATAGTAGCCCAAGGTTTCTTCTACATAGTGATGAGATCTGCAAAATGGAGGTACATTTTGTCATGCGTGCTTGGGTGTTTATGTGTGTGTACAAGGAAGGTTGGGGCGAATGTTTGAATGTCCTGCCAAGTGGTTGAGTAGCAAATGGTTATTCTGGCTTCTCTAAATTCTAATTACAAATTATTATATATCATTAATTATTATTTTAATTATTTTGTTAATTAATTCTTTGCATTTATTTTTGTTTTATTCTGTTTTCTATGCAATGTACTCAATTTTACTTTTTCAGACTGTGTATAGTAGTTGTTTTTCCATTTGATATTATTTTACGATACTTACAGCATTGTCAATGTGTGTTGGACAAATGGAGAATTGAACATGTTTTTTTTTTTTTCTTTTTTTTTTGCACTGATCAGGCTAATGGAGGGTAGAAAGGTAATTTTAAAAAATAAATGTGTCTACAACTTAATAGCATGTAAGTTCATTGCCAGGTGATTGTGCGTCCTTCATTCCCTATCACCATGGGTTGCGCATCTTTTTGCTGTCAATAATGAATATGTTATGCATCAGCGCACATTTACTGTACAGTATGACATTGGTAAGGCGATGGCAGCAAAAAATCCATTATTCCATTTAGTGTAATACTAATTATTATTGATTAAGGTCAGAAGGAAATGTTGCCAAGTAATTAACATTTCAGTATCTTTTTGTCCTTCAATAATTTGTTTTATCTGTCTATTTTGTATTTACAATATAAGACATCCACAAAGAGTTTATGTTCCTGATTCTTTTTGTTAGACTAGCAAAAAGTGCAAGTTTTATTAACTGTTTCTAGTCCAAAATTGTGGCATATACTGGATAAAATATTATAAATTATAATAATTTATGTTTTTATCATTTATTTTACATAGTATTTTTCCCTTGTATTTTACTCATGTATGAACTTGGCATGATTAATTAAAAAATAACTTCTCAATGACCAGTATAATATTTGTGTCTACAGTATTAGGTTGAGACAAGTTCTACTTCTAGATCTGATCGAAATAAATACTGTAAAAAATATAATTCAAACCAAATCCAAATTAATTATTTACAATTAATCTAGACAATATTTTTTTTTATTTCTATTTTTTGTGTATGCTTTTTATGGTATGTTATGTGATTTTACAATTTTCTGATGATAGAGCAAACATTTCAAAAAGCCTAGTAATTCCATTGTATTAGACCCTATAAAACAAATTATTAGTTTATCACCCTATCTAGGCTGTGATGAGGGAGATGGGCTTTTTATTTTTAATATTTAATTTTGCTAAAACCAAATATCACCTATGGGTTGTTTGCTGGTGTATTGATATTGTTGGTAAAACATGATTAAGATAATACAAACAATTTTTACTATTTACTAAAAAAAATGAACAAAATAATAATTTTTTTTTTTAAATTAATAAAGAAAAATAAAATATATATTTTTTCCAAAACAATTTTTTTTTTTTTTTTTTTTTTCAATACCATAGAAAACATGGGTGCAAGGGTGATAAACTAATGATTTTTTTTATTAGCCTTATGAGTGAAGTGAGTGAACCATCAGAGATTATAAGAATTCAAATACAAAATTAAAACATTAAATCGTTCATTGAAATGGACCAATGAATGTTATCAAATTCCAACAGAGGCACCTATTGATAAAAAAAATCTGTGTTTTATATTTATTTTTATGAAAACCCTGGGCAAAATGATTTCCAGAAAATTTAAGGGTCTACTATATGGAAAAGCAGAAGCTGTAAAATTCTAAATTTAAATTTATTTTGGTAAGGAAAATATTTTCTTTTTCAACTATTTAATTTAATGCATATGTGGCACAGTCAAGCCAAATCAGTCGCTTGTCGGCAATCGTTAACTGGAGAAAATCAAGCCTAAAGCTGTTATACGTTGAAAATTTCAAAAAAATCAAAATGTATTTTATGACTTAAAATTAACAATAAGGCATCTAAGATCCATGCTACATTAACATTTTACCAATTTTCAACGGTAAAAGAACATTTTTATACAATTTAGAGGGTATCTCACTGTAAAATGTCAAAAACTTGGTCCATTTTTTACAAGTTTAGTTGCACGTTTCTGACACTATGCACGTCTCCATTTTGAAAGCGAACTGCTCCATATTTGGTACCAATGTAAAGGGAATTTTATAAGCTTTCATGTCATTGGTCAATTGTCATGATACAAGTTCAATCTAACCAATTACAACGATTTTGAATAGTGTAAACAAATCTGTTTTCCCTTGACGACGACGACGCTACAATAATGCCTGTGGTTGGTCACTCACATAATGGCGTAAAACTGAGCATGCGCACAGTTACAATTCGATCCCACAATGCCACAAAAAAATCAAAACATGGCGTTATTGGAGCAAAGCTATGCCAAGTTTTTCTAAATTTTGTACAGTTTTAATTTATTTTTCAACAAATCAGTGAACAATGATTCAACAATATTTTGTAATTTCAAAACCTTTAGCAACGCTAACTTCCCGTTGTTAGGTCTAGGTTTAGCTTAGTGTAGACTGCCTATCGACTATCGCTGATCGGCATTATGAATGTATCACTAATGTTTTCGGCTGAATTCAAACTCAAATAACTTTCAAACCTGCTTTGGGTTACAAAGGAAAATCTGGGTGTTGTTAGAAGAATGTATTTATATTTACTGGACCAAATTTCAAGAACGCTGTATAACGCTATCTCCCTGTTGCTAGATTAGATATACAACTATACTCATGGAACAAGGAATGTCTTCGCATTGTCAGCGTCTCAGCGCGTCAGTAAACTTCCAAGGTGAATTTTTCGAAAACGTGTTTACGGTTTCTCCCAAACGTAGGTATATATTTAAACTTCTATAACTTTACAACGAAAAGTCGGATTGCATTTATTTTTTCACCATTGTAAAGCGAATACATTACTAAATAATATTATTGTATAATCTCAAAATCTGAATTTCCGACAAGCGACTGATTTGGCTTGACCACGCCACATATTATTTAAATACTGGTATACAAAGTGAACCCGTCAAATGCAAAATTATTTATGCATAATTAATTGGGAGAGGAAATTTTTGTGATTTAATTTTCAATTGAAATAACATTAATACAAAGTAAAGAATTTCAAACACCGGTAGAGATGATTATTAGCTTAAAAGCCGGTTCAGACTATCACAGTTTATTTGACAAAAAACTGTTGTATTCTTATACATAGTCATGATGTGCCTATATATGGTCATGATGTGATGATATCATGACCATATTTAGCCATGTCACATGTGTCAAATAAAAATGTGATAGTCTATAGATGGCTTAACACAGACTGTCAGTCTTTTAAGTTTTTTTTTTTTTTAAATGTTCTTTATCGATTCAATGGATGCATCAACATTTTGGACATGTCAACGACCTATCATTCACAATGCTGTAAATATAATTTGCATCACATGCTGTTAGCATTCGGTGCATTCAGTAAGGTTCGTCCTCTCAATCTATTCAAGCTATAAGGTCAAATGTTCATTTTGTTATTAATCATAATTCATAAAAACATAAGAAATATGTCACCAAACTGTGAACACAGATGACTTCTACTGGTGAATATAATTTCAGAAAACAATTTTTTGCGGAATACTTACAGATTTGCGACCTTTCTCTGATGCCGCGGCTAAAAGGTCATGAATTTTTTCATTGTAAATTTCAAAGAAACTTATTTCAATATCGTAAGTTACCTGGAAAAAATGAAGTTTATAAAGATTTAGGATTTAAATCAATGAAATTGAATAGCTACATGTTTATTTTGAGGTTATAACACTGAAATTTCCAATTAATTTACTAAATAGAAATATGGGAATTGTCACTATAGGAGTCAATATATATTGGAATTCAGACTCCAAATAAAATGATATTAACTTTTACTAAATATGTCACTAATAAATAAATTTACTAAAGGACAATGTTTTTGCTATCCTACAAAGTTTGTCAACCCCTGATATTTCATTTGCTATCATGATGCTGACCTTCATGACAGGAAATGCTCACCATCGAATAAGAAAACTGCTTTTGCTGCTTCAAATGCCATGAGTAACTGCATTGTTAATTTTCAACAAGATAAAATATGATTTTTGTTAATTCTAACAAACTCTTAAAATAAATTTATGTAAACTTGTATAGTATGCTCCTATATTGACAACAAGCTCAATTACTTGGAATATCTGTATTTCAAAAGTATCCACCCTCAGGTAAATGAACATTATCCACTGAAGTTTACATCAGCATTGTCTTTTAACAATAATCAAAATACAATACACTACTGTACATTGTAAGTAAACAATTTGGTGTACACACTGTAGCTGAAGAGCATGCTAAATCTATGATGATGCAACAAGTATTCTGGTCAGTGGTGTTTCTTAGTGGATTGGGCCTAATGAGGGGGGAAAGGTGAGAGGTGTGGTGGGACTGGCACCCCACCCCATGCTTCTTCTTATAAGTGGGTAGGCATAATGCAAAAGCAATAGGGAGCTAGCTACACAATTAGGTGAAATGAGTTGATTTTTCAGATACATGACTAGAATTTTTGTTCTCAACAAATTTCTAGTGAAGACTGCATACTTGCACACCACCCCGTGCTTCTTTATTAGATGCCACTTCTGTTGGGAAAGAGTGCAGGCTACAGACAGTCTTAACTCCTCTATAATTTTGACAATAGATAATGGTCTATAATATAACCAAATACCGAATCCTACTATAATCAGTTTCTGGCTCTCCGTTAATTTCTTTAGCTTGTGAACAGGAGGCAGTTATAATTAGTTTAGAAGCTGTCACCTGGCTTCCTTTCAGTGGCGTATCTAGCAGTATTAAAATGGGGGGGAGACAGCCCTTGGATATGCCACTGCTTCCTTCACAGACATATAAATTAATAATCAACAAGCATGTGCCACTTTCCCTTCCATTTTTAGAAACATACGCATTTTCAATACATAATTTATTAGTGTAAACTAAATCACTGATGCAAACTTTAATGTTTTGCAATTATTTCCACATTAATTATGCAATTACATTGTATAAAAATATGATTTATACGTGGGTAGTTATTAGTTTTCCAATTCAACTTGAAGAGGTCTTGTCAGCTATGACTGCATTATAACATAGGCCTTTCAAAGTGGCTATTGGTAAAGACTCTCTCAGTACGATGTGATATATCTGGCTATCATTCACCAGGTAAGACTGATTAATTAAAGCCCTATTTGGATTAGACTATCCAAACTAACCATGTACCTCGTAGTTTAACCAAAAAGTGCCATGTGTTGAAAGCATTCATGGTATTCTCCTTATTAAAAATTTTTAAAAAGTTTAACCGAGCGAACGTGCATAGGAAGAATAATCAGGCGGCTGTATTCCTTTGATATTAGGATCCTCTTTTTTTAAGGTTTAGTATAAGAAAGTATTTTCTTTCTAAGTAGCTTTAAGAGCATTTTGCTATTGTGCCCCACATGCAATCAAACACTTAGTATGTTTGCATTTTCAACATAAACAGGATTAATTTGGGCTTAATATTATGTATGACTTAAAAGCAAGTCCCATTCATTATTTCATTTAGGGTTCCTTTAATGTTTGTGATGCCCCAGCAGTGTGATCAGGTATATATAGCAGTAACTTTTTACTGTATGTATTTAAATGTGTGACATATTTACATATTAAAACAAACTATACATTACATGTTCTTCCTCTGGGTTTTCTATTCTGTAATACAGCTCCTTGGTAAATCTAGGAATGATACCTTTATCCTCTCCATATCCCATGATGCTATTGGAGAAAAAAGTGTAAAATAAGTATTTAAGTCAATGCTTTAAAGTGTTATTATGTAAGTTAAAGTCAGGCTCTGGAGGAAAAAAATTTTTTGATATGTTGTAGAACTGATTTTTCTAAGACAGAAAAAAGTTGTTTGACGAAAAACTGGGGAACGGTGAATCAGATACAGATTTTTCAATATTTACAAACTGGGGAAAAAAGAGGCGTAACTGCCCATTTTTACACCTTATTCCCCCAGTTTTTAAATATTAAAAAATCTGTATCTGATTCACCGTTCCCCAGTTTTTCATCAAACAACTTTTTTCTGTCTTAGAAAAATCAGTTCTACAATATATCAAAAATTTTTTTCCTCCGGAGCCTGACTTTAAAAAGCAACCACAAAAAAAAAAATTATCTTATAAATTAAATAGTACATAGCTGAAGAAACAGATGAAAAAGTACACTTACAGTACAGACATTTTTATAACCATTATGGTTTACTATGTCACATTAAAAAGTAAGTACACTAAATAGAGGATGAAATTAAGTCATACAATGAGTGTTTCAGTCAAATGAGGCCTCTGGAATTCAAGGGGGTATCCAGGGTTTAATTTAGTTTAGAAAATATAGTACTGTACTATTAATTTAAAATTATATTAGGCAATGCTAACACTTGAACTTGAATCATTAACTACAGCTTCACTCCAATATCTCACTATAGTGTAAGTATTGGCAAGTCAGCGTTACAAGCATAGTGTTTATTTATGATCAAATAACCAAATGTGACGGCTTTCTTGCACTGTTGGAAATATTTTTATTAATAGTACGGTACATGTAAATTCTTGGCCTAGAATTTACTGACTGGTTCAACAAAATATAAGTATTAGTTACTGGTCCTAATCCCTAGTAAAACACACAGGCTCACTAATCCAATGATATACTACTGTCACCAGGATAAGTGTTCTACTCAATCCAAGCCAGTTTCTAAAATGTTTGGTACATTCAAATCATAAAAAAAAAAAAACGTAAAACCATATGTACTGTATTAAGAGACTCAGCAGAGGGGCGAATAAGCATTAATAAACTTCAAGATCAATGTAAATCAAGGTAAATCAATACATACCAACGATTTCTGTAAAGTTTAAACTTGATGTTGAGGACATAATCAAATAAAGGCATTAACATAAATTTGTTCTGGACATAATCAATATTTAAATTGCACAGTATTTTATATATGCTGTGATTAATTACAAAATTTTTCCTTGCCAATTAAAATTGTATAAATAATACTGTACTATTTTTAGTATTCATAACAGTTTACAGTAATCAAAGCAACATGTTTGTACAGAGTAGTTGGTAAAAAAAATCACTGAAAACTGAATTTGTTTGCTATGTACAATATAAAAATTGATAATTATAATATTTTTTATGAGAAATTCTAGATATTTTAAATATTATTATAGATTTTTAGGGTGTTTTTATATTCTACTAGAGAATAATTTTATAGCATGTCATCTTAATTTTTTTTTTCTTTTGCATGATTTAGATACCTTAAATATGATGTATTACACATTTTTCATAATATTGATATCACAACATAATAATAAATAATATCCACCACCTATCCTTAATCATTCATGTGACATGCCTATGTGAATAATATATCAAATTTGACCTTTCACCCCACGAATGAATCATATTTCACCTCTTGTACATTATACTTGAAATTATTACAGAAAAATAATCTGTATTTTCGTGAAAATATGTTTTCATTCATAATTTCCTACTTAACTATGTATGTGTAATGACTACAAGAAGAGTGGGTGTATATTCTTTAGTCCAAACATACTGTAATAAACATAATGTATAGTCAAAACATTCACTAAAAAATATTTTAATTATACCCCTGTTGAAAAAAACAATTTAAAAAAATTGATTACTTTGGAAGCTGTTTACAGTATCTCCAAATTCTGTTTTACTTATTTTCTAGTCTATACCTCCACAAGATTTGGTATCACCAACATTTAAATTGCAAGAAAATGTGATTATTTAAGTGTGTACTACTTGGAGGGAGATTTTGACTTATTGTGGAGAGTAGCTAACACTAAAGTGCTTTGTAACTGCAAGGAAAAGTGCTATACAAGTACTGCATGTGATTTTAAATAAATTAAATTAACTAAATTTAAATTCAAATCTATAAATTTAAATTATAATAAACGAAGTACAATAATAATAATACTAAATATTTATATAGCGGCAAATGATAACAACTTCGAGGCACTTAACATAATAATAAAAAGTAAATAAAAACAATACCTGTATGATTTTCCAGATCCTGTTTGACCATAGGCAAAGAGACATGTATTGTAGCCCTCAAATGCACTTATGAGCAGAGGCTTGCCAAGCCTATTGTAGACAAGCGTCTGGTCAGCAAATTCACAGCTGACTTCATCAAAAGACCAGAAACAGTGATCGTAACAAAACCTGCTAGCACTGCCTGTCTTGTTCTTCACAAATGTTTCATTTCCTTGCATAGCTACAACACATGTTGATGCACTGTTGTTGAGCTCTCTGAAATGTTTCAATTCAATTCAATTCAAGGATTTTATTCAACAACAAAATAAATTTACATTGTAGCCAATGGCTAAATTGAGTAAAATTTCACAAAAAAATAAATTATTGCACTTACAAAGAGAGAGGAAAAAAACCCCCCAAAAACAAGCCAATCAATTGCATTAAAAAGACACCTAAAACTAACTACAGTAATTACAAAACACTGAAACATACATACTGTACATAAACTAAGAAGAATGGAAAGAGTGGAACAGACTTTCAGAGAAATTGCATAGTAAATACAATGAAGCATTAAATTAACCAAAAAAATTACTTACTGTAACTAGTTGGTATTCTACTTGATCCGTATTATATTATTGTTATTTATTATCATATTTATTATTATTATCATTTTTATTATTATTACTATTACTATTATTATTATTATTATTTATTATCCATGTTAAGATTATTATTTTATTATTAATGATCCCAGAGATGGCCCTGAAGTTATATTAAGATATGGATTACTAGCTATTTTGATTCATTAGGTTGATCAGATACTGTAAGGGCTATTTTTATATCTGTTAGTTTTACATTTAATTTGCTCATAGTTAAAATTCCTTCTTAGGTGTTGATTGCATTAAAATGTTTAAGGTATGACATATGTTTACTAAAAAAAGTGGTCTGTTTAGGACATTAGTATTATCTGAGTAAATAAAACCAAAAAATAGTAATTAGTAGATCTTCTACCACTACCACTACTACTGTCTAGATTTTAAATTGAAGATACAAACAATATACAAGTTTTTGGAATTTACCTTTGACTAAATGGGCTAAATTGAGTAAAATTTCACAAAAAAATAAATTATTGCACTTAGAAATAGAGAAAAAAAACCCCCCTAAAACAAGCCAATCAATTGCATTAAAAAGACACCTAAAACTAACTAATTACAAAACACTGAAACATACATACTGTATATAAACTAAGAATGGAAAGAGTGGAACAGACTTTCAAAAAAATTGCATAGTAAATACAATGAAGCATTAAATTAACCAAAATATTACTTACTGTAACTAGTTGGTATTCTACTTGATCCGTATTATATTATTGTTATTTATTATCATATTTATTACTATCATTTTTATTATTATTATTATTACTACTATTACTATTACTATTATTATTATTATTATTATTATTATTATTATTATTATTATTATTATTTATTATTATCCATGTTAAGATTATTATTTTATTATTAATGATCCCAGAAATGGCCCTGAAGTTATATATTAAGATATGGATTACTAGCTATTTTGATTCATTAGGTTGATCAGATATACTGTAAGGGGCTATTTTTATATCTGTTAGTTTTACATTTAATTTGCTCATAGTTAAAATTCCTTTTTAGGTTTCGATTGCATTAAAATGTTTAAGGTATGACATATTATGTTTACTAAAAAAAATGGTCTGTTTAGGACATTAGTATTATCTGAGTAAATAAAAACAAAAAATAGTAATTAGTAGATCTTTACCACTACTACTACTACTGTCTAGACTTTAAATTGAAGATACAAACAATATACAAGTTTTTGGAATTTACCTTTGACTAAATGGGCGAACTCTAACAGCCACAGTTACACTAAACCCATCTTCTTCGGACTCGCTGCTCTGCGAATAATGTTCAGATGTTGTTCTCCGGTTTAGAGGTGTCCCAAATGTGACAGTGTTATAACAGTCAGGTGTGCCAAAGAGTGCTTGTGGATTACTTTTACTTCTCGACTTCGCAGATGCAGGTGTGGTTGGAGGGTTAGTGAATGGGTAAACATTTTCCTTAGCATTTGAAGGTGTGTGCGGAAGCACCCTTTTACTTGAATATTTTGTTATTGATGATTTTAAAGCCATAATTACACCTTTAAAAAATTAAAGTTAAAAAGGTTTGAAGTACTGTAGGCATACGGACGAATCCCTAACTCGTTCGTTCATTTCTTCGTGTTAATCCATAATCACTCTAGCTACACAGGTGTTAAGTTAGTACTAGTAGTATAGCTTCCTTTAGCAAAAAATCATGTATATTAAATTCTAGTTATCAGTTGACTGGAGCAGTAAACATATTATACAACTTCAAGGCTATATCCATGATTACCATTGGGAAAGGGAGGGGGTGGGAATAAAAAATGGACCAACTTGGCAGAGCATGGAGTCACCTTCAATTGTGGCATGGTCAAATATCAATACTGTATCAAGGAATTAATACTGGCCTATAAAGTTATTTGGTTAATATTTTTTTACAGAAAATAGCTAAATTAATATTGAATATTAAGTTTTAAGTCTTATTAATAATTATGAGTACTTTTCCAATTTTCACCCTGGATACAGTCCTGACCTTCATAAAAAAAGAAAAACAGGCCACATAAATGATTATCTACTGTAGCTATAGTAGTCTGTAAGGCTACTCAATTATAAACATAACTGACTAGCACTTGTGGCTTACATTACAGAATATTATGCAATAATTACTGTAGTTCTCCATCTGACTTTACTAGAAAACTCTGAAACAACACTAACTGTACTGTATGTCATATTTGTGAAAATGTATAGCCCATATTCAAATGCGGAATGAAGATGAACCATTGTAGTTTCTCAATTTCACTAATTAGTCAGGCTAGCAGCATTGCAAGAAATACCATATTGTATTTAAGTATTTTAATTGTGTGGATGATACCCCAACAAATCTGGATATATGTTAGGTAATAAAAGCCTTATTGTGGGCAAAATCTGAGCGAAAATCGGCTCTTATTCTTTAAATGAGTGAACAGATTTATAGGCCTAATTTTTCTGTAAATGGATTAAGAAATAGGCCTAGCTAGAGGACTTTTGAGTAGTGATGTAGAACAGACAGTGCTGTCAGTAGGCTTAATTGTTTTATACATTACTACTAGGCCCCGGCCATACTGTAAAGTTTTTTAATTGAACGGAGGATATCTCAAAATCAGCTCAATTTGTGCGGAAAATCGCTAGGCCGGCCCTAGGCCTAGTAGGTAGGAAAATAAGTGCGTGGAATCATAATTGCTAATTGGCCTAGGCCTAGTAGTAGGCCAGGCACATCAGGTCCTAGGCAGGCAGGTTAGACTAACATAGATAGATCTAGCTACTACTATCTACAGACAAACCGGCCTAACTGGCTGGGCTAGCCTAGGGGCTAGGGCCTAGGCTAGGCTAGACTACTACTACGACCTAAGCCTAGGCCCACATTCGTACACTGAGAGAGTTTGCGAGGTAGCACCGGCAACATAGCCTAGGCCTAGGTAGGCCTAGCCTAACCAGCCTGCTGGGTAACAAATCAACTTGGCAACCAATATTAGTTACAACAATTATACATTTCAAAGTACATCTTTTGGCACTAAGCCGTACTAATAATACCTTAAATATTTCATCAGACTCTTTACAAACTGTGTGTGTTTACTTGTTTACATCCGTAAATTTATTATTTTGAAAAATTGAACAGCCGCGGGCGGCGCCGCTAACGTCAGACTGATTGGATAAAAAACGTTGCCAGATTATCACATTATTTGCAAAAATGAAAAAGTGAAACTGGTGAATGATGTACAGTAGGCATAAATGATTAGGCCTATTGATTTTAACTACTTTTTTAAAATTTATTGTTTAGCTCAGACTGTGGCGTTCCCACCCTACACCAATCCAATTTAGGAACGAGAGGCTTTAAAACTGATGTTAAACCAAGTTTAAACCGAACATTTTGACTTATATTGATTCATTCTAGGTCGATTGCCGAAATCCAGTTTTCGAATGCCAGTATTTAAAGTTGCCGACTCCACTTTGCCGAAACTCAGTTTGCGGATAATAAAAATTTAGTTTTCGAAGATTTACAAAAGAGTTTTTGACTACAAGAAAGAAAAAAAACTGTTAAATTGGCTTAAATGTTTAAAAAGAAAAATAGGGAATTTATTATGTCCGTTAACTCGGTTAGATTATTTCTCCTTATTTCAATTTTCATTGAAGTAAATAATTTACACAAATACAAATATTAAATTATATATTTCAAGTGTTGACTCACAGGTTACAGAGGGCATTTAAAAGCTCTACTGCTCTTTCAAAAGAAGTAGTATTTTGAGAGACATGGTAACGTACCTAAATGTCAACAATGGCGCCGGGGTTTTGAGCGGGCCCACTAGCATGCAAAAAGCGACGTTGGCCCAACGTTGGCAAGCGTCGGTAAGCGTCGGGTTCGGATATCTGACGTTGGTACGACGTTGGTGTTTGTTGCAAAATTTCGTCGGAGAGGTAACGTCAAATCAAACCAACATTGGAATTTCACGTTTGCCCAACGTATGAATATTTGTTGATTTTCCGATGTCGTCCCAACGTTGGTAAGCCGTCGTAAATATTCAGTCTGACTACGGACGTTGGTACAACGTAACGATTTGTTACTGGCCCGACGTCGGCAAATTACTAAAAAGATGGTTGGCCCAACGTTAGCTAGAGGATGTAAATATTAGATATGATGTATATTATGGAGTTTGGTTACAACCGTTTGGCCGACGTTGGTTAGAGGTTGTAAATATTAGATAGACGTGGTCGCAACGTCACAGTACGCTGTTGGCCCGACGTCGGTAAACGTTTGAAATGGTGGTTGGTTAAAACCGTTGGCCCGACGTTTACCGATGTCGGGCCAACAAGGTACTTTGATGTCGCGACAACGTCTATAATTATATATATTATGGAGGTTGGTTACAACCGTTTGGCCGACGTTGGTTAGAGGTTGTAAATATTAGATGATTATAGACGTGGTCGCAACGTCACAGTACGTTGGCCCGACGTCGGTAAACGTTTGAAATGGTGGTTGCTTAAAACCGTTGGCCCGACGTTGGTTAGAGGTTGTAAATATTAGGATGTGATAACAGACGTTGTCGCAACGTCAGAGTACTTTGTTGGCCCGACGTCGGTAGACGTTAGTGAAGGCCGGTTACAACCGTTGGCCCGACGTTGGTTAGAGGTTGTAAATATTAGATGTAATTAAAGACGTTGTCGCAACGTCATAGTACTTTGTTGGCCCGACGTCGGTAAACGTTTGAAATAGACGTTGGTTACCACTGTTAGGCCGACGTTGGCCAGAGGTTGTAAATATTAAATGTGATTACAGACCTTGTCTCAACGTCATAGAACGCTGTTGGCCCGACGTCGGTAAACGTTTGGAATGGAGGTTTGTTACAACCGTTGGTCCGACGTTGGTTAGAGGTTGTAAATACAGTATTAGGATGTGATTATAGACGTTGTCCCAACGTCACGGTACTTTGTTGGCCCGACGTCGGTAAACGTTAGTGGAGGTTGGTGACAACAGTTGGGCCGACGTTGGTTAGAAGTTGTAAATTTCAAACGTTTACCGACGTCGAGCCAACAGAGTACTGTGATGTTGCGACAACGTCTATAATTATACATAATATTTACAACCTCTAAGAAACGTCGGCCCAGCGGTGGTACCCAACATCTATTTCAAACGTTTACCGATGTCGGGCCAACAAGGTACTTCGACATTGCCACAACGTCTATAATTATATATATTATGGAGGTTGCTTACAACCGTTTGGCCGACGTTGGTTAGAGATTGTAAATATTAGATGTGATTGTAGACGTGGTCGCAACGTCACAGTACGCTATTGGCCCGACGTCGGTAAACGTTTGAAATGGAGGTTGGTTACAACAGTTGGGCCGACGTTGGCTAGAGGTTGTAAATTTCAAACGTTTACCGACGTCGGGCCAAAAAAAAACAAAACATTGGTTCGTGTTGGAATCGAACACACAACCACCGGGTTTGCTATTCATTATCCACCATCAACTTAACTGCCTTTTAAAAAAATGGTTCGCGTGGGAATCGAACACACAACCACCAGGTTTTGCTATTCATTATCCACCATCAACTAAACTGCCTTAAAAAAAAAAAAAAA